ACCATAATGGGAATGGTATCTCCGGGTTGGTTAACGTGAATCAAATACTGCTTTTCATTGTCGTCCAGATTTCTCCAGTTTAGTATTCCTGATCCCAACTGATATGTGGTAGAAATGGTTGGGATTCCCATCTCTCGCACCAAATTCTTTACTTTAGGCGATGTTTGTGCCGATTCCGTCACATCCAAGACAAATGTTGGCATCGATTTATCCGCAAATAATTGTTCGCAAATTGTGGTCGAATTGTCTTCTTCTCCAAGAATCACTTCTTTCACTTTAATTTGGTTACCGTTTGGAGACTTGTATTCTTTAAATGCATATCTGATAGCATTGAGTGCCACTGAATCCTGTTGATCCACTGTTACCACTATTTACACATTTCATTTTATTAATTAATTAAATTTAGTTGAATGCTTGTCATCAGAATAAGTCAATTTGGAATTTGATATCCATTTGATTCCTTACCTGCGATTACATCTTTAGAGGCGACAACTCTTAAGAATACAAAAACCATAAGAATTATTAGAGAATATTTGGTTTGATTTTGCATTTTGATTAGTGATTTAGTTTTAAAATTTCAATTTAAATTATTATAATTAAAGTTTAATCATTTTGAATAATATTTAGCAAAATTAGCTTCTTTTAAGCGTAAAATGAATCTAAATCAATAAAAGCTTTGTATAGTACTAACACAAAGACCTAGACATCAGTGAAAGAGAATGTGATTGGTTAGAAAAAGTCCTACAAAAAGTTAATTTTATAGATTTATGGGATAATTATTTCTTATTTCTCGAACAAATTGGTCGCTTTGGTTACTGTTGTGCTGTTTATTTGTCACAAAAACAGATAAGTGTTGAATGTTTTGTACAAAGAAAGCAATATATTATTAAAATAAATCAATACATGTTTGCGATGACACTTACAGTACTATTTAATACAACAATAAATTTATGTTCACTTAATTGTTTTTAAACAAACAAACTAATTATTACAATTACCATGTTCTTAGGCATCCTTTTTAATTTTGCATGAGATTTGCTTTTAAAAGTTTGGTTCTCAAAGTTTAGTCAAGTTTTTTGTCAAAAGTTTTTTATTGAATTCAAAAATAAAGTGTTATTTTTAGTGACCGGAAAATGAGTAAATAATGAAGGATTTATCACTGATTTGTGAGAAAAATCACTCATTTATCACTGAGAATAGTGTAAAAATATAGTTTACGATTAACAATATTGTTGAACAATATTGTATACGATTGAAAATTTGTAAAATTTAATTTGTTATAAATAAACTTTATATATTAATTTTATAATTGTATTCTAATTTCAGTTTTAAAACAATGAATTAACTGTAAACAAATTTACAATTTTTAAATATATTCATTTTGTACCATGATCAAACACATATTTTACCCATTTTCTGGTCACTAGTTATTTTACAACTAATTGAGATTATAATTTCAAAAATACATTTTTAATAGTTTTTAAATAACATTTCATTAAAATTTTATAAAACATAAAATATATCGGAATTATTGCAAAAAATAATAGAATTTTTATAAGAAATTCAGGAATTGAGTTGAGTTAGTGTTGAGCAGAATATAGTGTATAATAAATTATAATTAAAATATGATTCTGTACTGTAGTTATTAAGATATGCTGTGATATTGTGAGCATATCTATTGCATGCCAAAGTTGTTCTTGTAGTTGGATTTGATGGGATCGTAACTGAAGTAATTGTAGTTATCTTTGTTGTTATAAGTCGTTTGTTGGTCTCTCGTGCCGAACACTGACGGCGCTCTCTTGGCGTTCACTCCCAACTGGGGGTTGAAATTGCGGGCTCTGTTAGGATCGCCCCAACCGGCCGGCAGTGCTCTTCCATCTTCAGCCTTAATGTTGGGATAATTAAACTGCAATTTCGTTGCATTCCTCCCGGTATTGGCCACCAGACTATTAGTGGTGTTAATCCATGAGCTATAGAGGGATCCCTGATTGACCTTCTGGTAGAAAAGTTTAAGTTTATCCCATTTGCCTAAATGTTGTTTCCCAGTGAACTGTATGGCACCGGCCGTTAGTTTCATCCTCTTATTACTCTTAAACACTTCGCCGAATAGCGATCCCAAACCTAATAGCAATCCTATTCCCAGTATGAAAAAGCACCCAATCATATGAGCCATTCCTATCTTCTTCACATCTCCCGCTCGCACTTTCATTCACAAAACAAATTAGTTTTAATAATTTGATTGTTTTAAAAAAATGAAATGTAAATTCAATGACTGACCGACGAGTGGATGCAGACAATCATTTCCCGGGACTTCAAATTTGTTATTCCACTGAATAACGAGTCCTGATTTAGCCATTCGTCCGACTCTTTAATTTAAATTAAAGTAATGTTTTGTCAAACAAATGCTTAAAATAGTGTTAAAAAGTCGCAAACATACTCGTAGTCGAGTCTATCCTTAAAACCTTTGGGCTTTTTCTCATTGATGACAAAAGAGACAGAACTGGTAAATACGGGTTCCTTTGCGATCATCATTTCACAGCTTTCAGTTTTATTGTAGTCAACAGTAATCAGATAACGGACTTCGGAATCACTGGCCAGAAATGCCAGTTCTCTCTCTTTGACTCGTCGGTAGAGGTCATCGGTTCTGTTGACAAAGAAGTCCATATTATCAGCCAATTGTTTGAGTGGTCCGTATTTTGCGCCCTCAATCAGTTCCTCCATCGCTCCGCCCTTATCTGTTCCCCATTTCATTGAACTTTTATACGATAACAAATCCTCCAGATTTTCAATCGGATGTATAATCTTAGGGAACGTGAGAAGAGCGACCAGATTTCCACTATAGGTAGTGACCGTTACGATTACAAATAGCCACCAGAATGTGACCAGAATTCGTCCCGATATGGCCATTGGTAAGTGGTCTCCACCCTGTTGTACCATCGCTCCGAAACAATACCACGTGCAGTTTGACAGCTTAAATAGGCCTTTATTGTCCCTCATATTGTAATAGTCGTAGTATTTACTCGATCGGTGGACAATCCATAGCAATGGTCCCATCACTACAACTGTTATTAAGATACTCACCCAAGCCTTTAACAAATCATTAATTATAAATTAAGCATTTTTTAATCATAACAAGTATAGCCAATTATTGTTAACTAAAGTTACTTTAGTTAACCATTGATTTCATTGACTCACATCCCAAGTAAAAGGGGTTAAGAAGAGATATTTATGATCTTCGCTGGTCTTCTGTATCATCATGGACATCTCCTCCTTGTCGAATGGGAACGTGAAATACACGGCTTTCATGCGTTCTTCTGTTCGCCAGTAGCCGTTGGCGGCGATGTCCACCTTATTGTCTTTGACGAACCCAATCATTCCCGTCCACGAGCCGTCCTTTTGCAGGCGACCCAAAGTGGTTGATTCCGCGATCACTTCCCACTTGATTGAGAAATTCATTTTTGTAGCCAAAACTTTAACCATTCTATAAGTTGTTCCGTCAATCTTATGGCTTCCGTTGGGATGCTTTCCCATTATGTTAACTAATGGGGGTTGCTTTACGGAATGAACAGGGTATAGTTATCGTAATGTTAAAATCATGTCATATTTTGCTATTAAACTTTTAGTTACGTGTATTTTATTTAATGGTTTTAATTAATTATACAATTAAATACTCACATTTACAATACCGACAGTAATGGGCCTGTTTTTGAGGTTACCCTCTTCGTATCCGAGTACAGTTGCGATGTGTAAATATCCTTTAAATGGAGTCCAAATGCCTGTGTTTTCTACAACCACTTTATATTGAGGATTGTCTTCAAGTTCAGTGAAATCGTCTTCTCTTTCTTTTTCTGAACCAATTCTGTGTTTATAAAGGGATTGAATGACAAACCGATCGCAATTCCCACAGAATTGAGACATCGATTTCTCTGTTCCCAATTCAAGCTAAATGTGAAAAACATTGAAATACATTTATTTCCTTTTTAATACCATGTAATTTATAAATAAATACTTTAAGTTAATTAATTAACATATATTTAGCACAATTAGAATTAATGATTATTGAATTGATAGTAAAACTAACTTTCATTTCGGCGATGACTCTGTTCTTGGTCTGTGCCTTCACTTGTTTGGTATCATTGAAGTCATAAAACGGCAATTCTATCACTTTCTTAATGGCATCCCTGAGTGTCTCGAAGGCGAGTCTCATTTGACAGCCCTCTTTCAATTCACTGCACTTACTGTACGCCGATATCTCTCTCTTAACAATAGCCACATCTGTAACACTGA